ATTCAAACAAACACAACAAGTAAAAATGAAAAAAAAATTCAAACAAATAAACAGCAGATGTAAACAGGCAACTGATGAGGTAAATATTGGCCTCGTCTGGAAACAGCAATATTGATGAGGGAGACTAACCAATCGCTTCGTTTATTGGCTGAATTTGAAGCCCGCGATTATACCTAACCAATCAAAATGTGAGGCTGGGAGGAGGCAAGTCTGAGGTATAATGGAAAACATTGTAAAATTTATTTTACTCGAGAGGTGGAGTTGGATAATGTTTTTTTTTTCTCATTTCTTTTTGTTGTTTTTTATGGAAAGTTTCATCTTTTTACATTTTTCGCTCTTTCTCTCTCTCTTTATTTCTCCCTTCCCATCTCCTGTCTTCTTGGATTGTTATCTCTCCTTTTCTTTCCCCTCCTTTTCCACCCTGTCTTTCCCCTTCTCGTCCCTTTCCTTCTCCTCCGCTTTCCTTTCCTCCTCTACCTCTTCTTGTTCCCCCCTCCTTTAACAAATTCCTCACCTCCCCTCAATCATCCGCCCATCTTTTCTCCCTCCCACTGCTTCTCACATTCCCTCCAATTTTCTCCTTCCTCTTCTAAGAAACTGCGTGTGTGTGTGTTTGTGTGTGTGTGTATGTGTGCCCCTCCCCCCCCCCACACACACAATACATATATACCTGTATACACCTGCCTGATTGCTTCTCATTTTCTAACCCTTATTGTCAGGTGTATGAGTACCATCTGTCACGTGTGCCACCAGTGACTGACCCATCACGGCACTGAAGAGACGATAGATGGCACACATATCTGGCCCTCTCCTCCACTAATACTCCTGAGAGAGGGTCCTTAAAATAACAATACCCACCAACCCTCTGTGGCTAGATACTCAACTCGCCATGAATCAACTGATGGTACAAATTACTCTATCACCCGAAGTAAATTTATCCACACAGCGTGCACGTTACATTATACTGTGTGTGTGTGTGTGTGTGTGTGTGTGTGTGTGTGTGTGTGTGTGTGTGTGTACATGAAGGGTTTTGTGGCTTATAAAGGTCGTGTATGACTCTACACTCACACACACACACACACACTCACACTCACACACACACACTCACACACACACACGCACACACACACACACACACACCAACCCCCCCCTTCATACACACACATTAATATACAGTACGTACACTATTTGCTACTGAATATCAAAGGCATTTAGTAGCGATTATATCTCCATGATAAGCGTAAAGGTTGACTATATTTGACTTGTTATATTAAAGAGTGTAGGCGTACTGCGCATGTTGACATAGCAGGCTTACAGCGGGCTCCTAGCAGGCTCATAGCAGGCTCACAGTGGGCTCCTAGCAGGTTCACAGCGGGCTCCTAGCAGGCTCATAGCAGGCTCACAGTGGGCTCCTAGCAGGTTCACAGCGGGCTCTAGGTTCACAGCGGGCTCCTAGCAGGCAGGCTCATAGCAGGCTCTGATGGAGCGCCTAGCAGGCTCATAGCAGGCTCACAGTGGGCTCCTAGCAGGTTCACAGCGGGCTCCTAGCAGGCTCATAGCAGGCTCACAGTGGGCTCCTAGCAGGTTCACAGCGGGCTCCTAGCAGGCTCATAGCAGGCTCACAGTGGGGCTCCTAGCAGGTTCACAGCGGGCTCCTAGCAGGTCTCATAGCAGGCTCACAGTGGACTCCTAGCAGGTTCACAGCGGGCTCCTAGCAGGCTTATAGCAGGCTCACAGTGGGCTCTAGCAGGGCTCACAGTGGGCTCCTAGCAGGCTCATAGCAGGCTCACAGTGGGCCCTAGCAGGTTCACAGCGGGCTCTAGCAGGTCACAGCAGGCTCACAGTGGGCGCAGCAGGCTCACAGGCACTAGCATCACAGGCCCTAGCAGGGCAGGCTCACAGTGGGCTCCTAGCAGGTTCACAGGGCTCCTAGCAGGCCTCACAGCAGGCTCACAGTGGGTGCCTAGCAGGTTCTGGCAGGCTCCTAGCAGGTAGCAGCAGGCTCACAGGCTCTAGCAGGTTCACAGTGGGCTAGCAGGCCCTAGCAGGCTCACAGTGGGCGCCTAGCAGGTTCAGCAGGGCTCTAGCAGGCTCAGCAGGGGCACAGTGGGCTCCCTAGCAGGTTCACAGCGGGCTCCCTAGCAGGCCCCAGCAGGCTCACAGTGGGCTCCTAGCAGGTTCTGGGCTCCTAGCAGGCTCCCTAGCAGGCTCACAGCGGGCTCCTAGCAGGCTCTCCTCCTCCTAGCAGGTTCACAGCAGGCTCCTAGCAGGCTCAGCAGGCTCACAGTGGGCCCTAGCAGGTTCACAGCGGGCTCTAGCAGGCTCACAGCAGGCTCACAGTGGGCTCCTAGCAGGTTCAGCGGGCTCTAGCAGGCCTCACAGCAGGCTCACAGTGGGTGCCTAGCAGGTTCTGTGGGCTCCTAGCAGGTCACAGTGGGCTCTAGCAGGTTCACAGCTCCTCTATAGCAGGCTCACAGTGAGCTCCAGGGCTCCTAGCAGGCTCACAGCAGCCTCACAGCGCCATTAAAATGATTAAATCATACAAAAATACAACATTGCGTAACTCCCCTGTATCATTTAGATTAAAACAAGAGACAACATTTACTGATCTTTGGCTCAAACGAGTTTAAGTGAGGTGACTTTTACATATGAACTTTGACCTTTCAATGATTGTTATCTCGTTAAAAAGGTATAAAATGTGGGAGCGCGCGTGCGTGTGTGTGTGTGTGTGTG